AGGGAAAAAAGTCACCTTGATAATTCGAGAATTTGACCCAAATCATGCTCCTGAAACACAAATGTGAAGTCATTACTGGGCTGACTGCAAAAATCAGAAAGCAGCAGAGTAACATGAAGTCCAAGACTTCCAATTTGTTTACCACGGTTTTACAATTTTTCCAAATATAAGGATTTCTAACCATTCACGGAATATGTAGAGTATATTTATCTTCACACTGTGATATATTGAGTATATAATTTGTGTGTGCATATACAGCCAGACCTCTGTACAAAATAAAGTAAAATTCTGTTTTAGTGCTGTAAGAACTAAATTTTATTCTTCAGTTGCATGCTTTACTCATTCTTAAGAAAAGCTACAGTAGACTACTTTTCTTCTTTTCACTCACTCCCAAGTCAATTACCTTGACCAGGTAGCAGCTAACCAACCAGCCCACAAGAAGGTACATTTTCCACATTAACTTTCCTGTTGTAAGTTGTGCTTTTTTTTAAAAATTTACATTACCTGTTGAGTGTAGCTCAGTTGTCTGGTAAGATCCTCTTCAGTTTTTCTAAGCTTTTCTTCCAACATCGTTTTGTCTTCCTACGTACAAATTGACATCAAGTCAAATCCTTAGCCCCCAAAACACAAGTAGTAGTTAGCTTCCATTTCATCAGCATACCCTGCCTAAGCAGCCACATACCCATCATATTTGTGGAAAAATCATCTTATTAAATAAATTTCATATTGAATAAGCTATAATTAATAAACTTTAAAAAAAAAGGCAGTAGCTCACAAGGTAAAAACCCTGAATTAAATTCTTACCAAGTTTCTATAAGGAAATAGTATCTTATCATAAAGACTTGTTTACAAAGGAGTTGCATGAACAACAAATCAAATTAAATACTGTAAATTTATATTAGTGAAATGGCTGGTTAGGCGGCTATAAACATGACAGCACAGTAGGGGAGACACAAATCCCAGGCTATGAAACTGAAAACAGACAACAGTCAGACTAGGAGACCATTAATTTTGCATTAAATAAAACCTAGCATGCTACCAACTGCATCAACATTACAATTTTAATTTATAGCTACTAGCCCTTTGAAGTCCACTAAGGCTTAGAATTATATACACACACATGCTTTCCTAAACCCAGTGGCAGAACACAGACACTGAAAGTTTACAGTATTTTACTTTTGCCGTTGATCTGGCAATCAGCAGAAGACTATGAAGCATGAGACACTGAAGCATTCAGAAGCATTCAACAGCTGCATACTGCATGCACTGCATGTGTACAATATCTGATCTGCCAGTTCAAATGACAGCACTTGGTTGAATATACATGTAATATTTTCATTGCTAGAGTGACAGTAACAATTTAGTTTTATAACATGCACTCAAATAACTGCATGCAATGACATATATGCGCTAAAATAAAAAATAAACCAGAGCATACAATTTGGTACATACTTTTGGAGTATTAAGACCAAAAGAATGCTTAAGTACACACAGCATCAAGGCCTACTTGCAGCTATGACAAGCCTTCATTTTACCTTAAGGCATTTCAAACAGCTGGCTAAAAACTTCTTTATTTCTGCATCATTTCCTGGTAGGAATTTTAGAGAGAGATGGGTAAGATGTTTAAAAGGGTTGGTCTCCACCACATTTAAAGAGACAGGTGTGTGATCTAGAACAGATGCTGAAGAAACTAGCTGCAGCAAAAACCTAGGGAAAATCAAAAATAACCAAATGTTTAGCATATTTCTTTTCCTGAAACTACCTGTAGATCCTACAAGCTATTTTCAAATAAAAACCATTGTTATACGTGCAATAAAAGGCTGCCCAGGTTTTGTTTGAAAAAGAACTATGAAATTCAATCCCTATGTTGTAGTTAATACTACAAATATCAACCAAAATGCTTGCACCTTATAATAAGAAACGTACAAAACTAATCAGTTTCTTTATTTGTAAAATTTTCAGAAGCCCATCTTAGACTTAGGAGTCCAAAACCAAGTAAGGCCTTTGTAATCACATTCAAAAGGAAAACAGGCTCCTGACTTTTAGGTATCCTACAGGCTAGTAAAATTCATAGCCCACAGTACATACTTCAGAAAATGGCCTGACTACTGGAGTGGAGCTAGGTACTCTGGACAGGGCTTTCCTCAGTACCCACACAAACAAAAAATAACATATGAAAAGGCCACTACAAGGAAGGGTGGACCTCAGGTCTCCCCCCTCACATGCTAATATCTGAACACTGAAAAGAAAGACAGAAAATCCTTGTCAGAATGCCTTATAACTTTGCCTTCTCCTGTGAAACAGAATGATTTACACCTCGGTCCATCAAATTCAGATTAGCTCCCTAGCGTTAAACTGTTAGGGGGGGAAAAAAAAAAAAAAAAAAAGAAAAAAGGACCAGTGCTGCATCCTTGCACTTCTGCTGCTTGTGAAGCTTGCCAGCTTCAACTCAGATGAGGAGACCGTTACTAGACTGCTCCATCCTCCTGAGACTTAGGTTTTGTCAGCAACATCCACTGACTGATATCCTGATGCATCCAGGGAAGGTTAAATTATTCTTGTTCTACTGACTCTTGTCAGTCCGAGTGGCTGACAAGTATTTTAAGACCTCAACACATACACACAGAGTAATACCGCACTCACTTATTACCTACCTTGGGATATCTTTGTTCTGTTCCTGAATGCATTGCTGAAGCAGATCTATAAATTTCTGTGGGAAAGCAGAGAAGTCTACCAAGAGACCTTGCTGGGATTTTAAACTACATAAACAGATTGGAAAAAAAAAATATTAACAATATATAGAAGTGTAATTTATTTCCTATATTTTGTTTACACTAGTAGAAAGAACTAATTCTGATCGTGTCATTAAAGTTCGCTAGCATGTTATTTTCAATCCTGAACACGGAAGAAATGTGATCACGTCTTGGATAATAATCACCAGAGGATATTTTGATTTCAAGAGTTCTTGCAAATGGGCCACACTAAGAAAAAAAACGAAGTTATTGTGGCAGAACAAATGTGCTCCTTTGAGTAGACGTCTTCCTTACAGCACAGAGTGGTAATGTTATTGGATAGGGGCACATGGAAGAAAAAAGACAACGAGGGGAGACTCAACCGTCATCAGGACTTTATCTGCCTACTTGTTCATTTAATTGCACACCTTCACCATAGACGCAGTAAACTCAAAGACAGAAACAGACATGCAACAGTGTTTGCACAGTCATACTTTGTGTAACAAAACACTTTTGCACATCTGTTTTACAAATACTACTTTACTTTTACCTTTTGATCCACACACTGATCGCATCTCTCAAAAAAAAAAAAAACCCACCACCACCACAAACAAAAAAACAAAAACAAAACCCCCAAACAACAAAGCAGAAACTCAACTGTTCATGCCTGGTGCCCAAATTTGATGATCAAATTCTGAGCAAGTAAAGTAAAATGAGACCCAACAGTACAATTACTATGCAAGAAACCCATAAGACAAAGGCTCAGATCTGTGAATCCATGTCCATGCAAACCAACTTTCCTCTTGCAATTATTTCTTGAAATAGTTCACACACATACAGTAGTCTGTAAGAAGTAGTTACGACAAACAGAAGATGTAAGTAGTAATGTAAACTGTGGTACTGTAGCTATGCAGGGAACTTAACATCAGGATTCTGTCACGCATCTGTATAATCTTGAGCCAATCACTTTCCTGTACTTGGCTGTTTCACCAACCGGTCAAAGAGAACAATACTGCCAAAATACTGACAAAACTCCACAAGTGAAAAATGCCAAAACCTAAATTCTAAGATAGACCATTCTAAGCTGAAAATATTCCTTCGTTCTTTTTTGCCATTTAGAAATGTTTCACAGGCAAGACGTTATAATTTCACTTACCTTTGAAAATCTTCCTCAGATATGACAAGGTTATAAAGAAAAAAAGGATCAAGTATCATCAGTCAATTGAACAGCTAAATCCTGAAAAGACAGATGTTTAAATATGATTTAAAATACTATAAACCACCCTGTAACGACTGTTTAAATATTGTAAACCAACATTGCAAACTGTATTTAATGTTTTTACTGTTTAACCAAAAATAAAATAGAATTGTGGCAGCTAATTCAGAAGGTAGAAAACATTAATGCTTAACACAACTCCGCATATTCCAGTGGGAAAAACAGGAAAGCTATTTCTCACAAAAATAAACCAGGTAAAAACCTTCAACTTTGAGCAGCAAAGGTTTCAAAATTCAAGGTGACTTCATCATTATACAGAAAGAAAACTATTTGCTATTTTTCCCCATCGTGAAATTGAGTGTAGCACTAGCAGTCCACTGTAATGGATCACAAACACATCATTCCCATAACTGGAAGTTTTTCAGAGCATACTGCTCCTAAAAGTTTAAGAAACCACCACCTGAAGAATTTATATATTGGAATACTGAGCTTTGCAAAGCAAACATAAAATGGATACAGCTGAAGTCCAGTAAGCTTCTAAGGAAAACTGTAGCATTACACTGCTTAGCTTTTAAAAATAAACTCATTTGTTCGCTGGAGGTCTACATAGTGTTTTGGAAAAACTGCCCTCTCTGTAAACGTTAGTCTTTCATTACAAGGCTGGGGTTATGCAAAACACCTGGCACATTAGGCCCAGGCACCCATTCTCTATAACGAGGCTCAAACCTGTGTGAAGAATATAATATTCCCTAGCAGAGGAAAGAAAGGAAGTAGAAAGCTGACAGCTCTTCCAACATAACTGAAGTGTGACCATAGCACATGCACATACACAGAACTGAAACAAGTTTCAGTAATTCAGATACTGAATTACTGAATTAGTGTATCACTAACAAAACTCTCAGTTGGAGATGTATGAACAAACTTAGGGATTTACATGCGCAGCTAGCTTATGTTAAAACTAATGCCACCCCAAACCAACTAGGGCGGGTTGTTGAGTAGTATAAGAATGCCTGCTTGGTTTGATGTCCCATTAACCGATCCAAGCATTTGAAGTTATCTTTTTAGATTGCTCACTCACTGATGTACCCAACTGGATTCCCAGGCTCCTGCCGACACAGGCTGCAACTTGGTACACAGTTCTTAATTGAACTGCTTCTTCACACTTAATATTATCATTGTCACAGTTAGCAGAATCTTACAAAAAAATGCTGTACTCCTTTACAAACAAATCTTTACTCAGTAACACTATAACCAACTAATGACCAATCTTAACATCATGGTAGGTGGATGTACAGTTTAAGTGACAAATTAGACATACAATAAAAAAGATTTTATAACCTCCAGTAGTAATCTCATTGCTATTTTTCCTAAGAAGATTTTTTCACTGCAAATTTAGTACATTTCTTCCTTCCTACTCCCACTGGATGAATTCCAAACATTCAAAGACTAACACACTTATCAATAAAAAGCAAAATGTTACATTCACATACAAGTTGTCGTTTTTGCTAGTTAAGATGAGGACTTTGCAAAGACAACTGCTGCTCTACATTCTTAAATAAGTGTTGAGTATATTTAAAGCGAGACTGCTCTTAAGCTCTAACTCGGGTTCCTCTGAGGGTCTCCAAATACTTTTAATTTGCAAGTTTACTAAGACCTGTGAACAGCCAAACTAAAAGAGAGGGCTAAAAAGGCTAGGAAAAAACCCCACCATACCAAACCAACTAAATTACTCAAGAAATTATATCAAAAATAAAATCAGGTCAAGTGACAAACATACTAAAATCCTATTTTGCTTTTCCTTTGCCCATTTGTCCTCTTATACACTGAAATTCAGATAAGACCTAATGAATGACACAAATATAACTAATCCACAAACCTTTTTATGAACAGGATTAGAAATTGACAGTAGCTCAATATTCACTCGAACATTTAATCTCCTGTGTACAAAAAGATGAAACTTAGTAACAAATCAAGAAAACATTCTCCAAATAACATGCGTTCACAGCCACGTTACAGGAATCAGATGATGTTTAGAAAAAAAAAATTTAGGCAGAAATACCAAGAAAGTTCCCATTGATGACTACTGCTAAGATATCTGAAAGCCCCACAGTTTCAGTTATCATTACAGCTCCTCAGTCAGCTCAGGGTTTTTTGTTGTTTGTTATCCGCCAAACTTTAAATAGCAAGGCAGAAGTTTTGAAACTCTGTCCAGAAACTAGAACCTTTGGAAAAGCCTGCTGAAATTTATTAGCGATTGCTGAAACTTTTGATAATCACTTATACAGCACTACCTTGTCTTCATTTACTTCTTGTTGAGTAATCTGAGAAGTTACTTGCATTACAAAATACAGCCACAGACATCAGCCTTTCTGTGCCTTCTAATACAGGCAAGCCAAAGTAGCCCTAACGCCTGCATACACCGTCTAATCGAGATAGGACCTATATTGCTGAAATTCACTGTCTTTTGAATAGACACTTCACATAAAATATTTCCTGGGCTTTCCCAAACACCAGTGCTAAGCCACGCACACACGCACGCGGGTGTTCACAAATCGACTTATCATAGAATCATAGAATCACTGAGGTTGGAAAAGACCTCCAAGATCATCGAGTCCAACCGTCGACCCAACACCACCACCCACTAAACCATGTCCCTAAGTGCCTCATCTACTCGTCTTTTAAATACCTCCAGGGATGGGGACTTATCCCTCGGCAGAAACCGATCGGGACGGACGTGTGGGCTCGCCCACGCCGCAGGGGCAGTAACGAGGGAGCTGAAATGCCCCAGGAGGCCGCGGTGAGGCCGGCTTCAGACCGCGAGACAGCAGGAGAAGGGGGAGGAGAAGGAGGAGGAGGCGGGCCTGCCCGCCGGGCAACCGCTGCGGCCTGGGAGACGCGCAAACACCGGCCCGGCCAGCCGGACAGACCTGCAGCGCTGCGAGGGCCCGCGCGGGGCCGAGGCGGAAACCCCGACCCTCACGTAGCCTGCAGGGGCGACGCGTTTGCCCCCGTACCCCTAAAGCGCTTCTGTAAAGCCACTGCGTGTTTTCGCCGCTACCAGTTGCCCGCCGGGCAACCGCTGCGGCCTGGGAGACGCGCAAACACCGGCCCGGCCAGCCGGACAGACCTGCAGCGCTGCGAGGGCCCGCGCGGGGCCGAGGCGGAAACCCCGACCCTCACGTAGCCTGCAGGGGCGACGCGTTTGCCCCCGTACCCCTAAAGCGCTTCTGTAAAGCCACTGCGTGTTTTCGCCGCTACCAGTGCCCCCTCCACCCCCTCTCGCCTGGCAAGGCCTCCGCCGCAGCCGCTCAGCCATCAC